CGGAGCGCGAATCGGAGGTGAAAAATCGGGTGTTGCCGCGCTCCGAACGTCTGGTCACGAGACTACTGCGCTATCTCCTTTGGGCCGACGAGGTAGAAGATTGTTATCTCCTTACCTGAGCTTCCCGTCGTAGCGTAGTCGGTCTCAATCCATCCGTTCTCCCTCTTAACCGTCATGCATATGCCTCGGCAACCACACCAAGTGTTCGCCTGACCTCAGAGTTGATGAAGTATATGAAGCGTTGCCGTCCAATGGGCTCAGGCCTGAATACTTAGGCAAATGAGCCAGCCTGAGCTTTCCGAAAAACCATTCGTATGTACACGATTCTCCCCTCGCGTCGTAATGGTGCTTTCGCCAGGACAGATATCAGACGTATCGCAAGGGCTAGGATATGGACGCCTAACCAAGATGTCATATGGGGAATGAAGTACTGACGTGAAGCTACCAAGCAGCCGACCATTGACTATGCTTGTCTATTGACCTTCGAAGACAGGACAGGCCAGCTGTGGCAGGCTTTCTGGTCGGAAATCGCAGCTTGGAAGTGTCGATGGCCCTTGCTTCTCCAGCTCATCGGCTTGTTTGCAACACGACCCAGGTTTCGATAAGGGCACCCAGCGGATCTGGGCGTCCAGCATGACGAATCGCGCCTTTTCGCCTGGTTCCCGCCTTCCACGGCTGGATGTCAACTGTGAGTGTCGTTTGAATATCGCACCTCTGCTCGCCCCTGACGTTATCTCGGCCATTTGGCTGTGATTTCTCTGTGCCGCTGCCGTCGGACTGCGCTGCAGCATCGCCCAGACGCCAGCGTCAAGTCCCAAATGTGTCATACAAACAACAGTCGCATTTCACCGTCCGGTTCCCTCCGCCTGTGTTCCCCAATAGGGATGTTTCGCACCGAGGGCCGCCTCCGTGGAGTAAGGCTGATGTGGGCTGGAGCAAGGCGAAATGCCATGCGCACGCGCGACTCGTGGTTGCTCCACACAAGGCAAAACAGGCTCCACGCAAGGCAGGGCCAAACTCGTTGCGAAACATCCCTAATCGCAAACATCCTCACTTGGGACTTCTTAAACGGAAGTTTGGTGGGATCCAGTAAGAGGCCTTGCTGCGTGGTTGCCATCCTCAGCATCCGGAGCATCTGTCCGCAATCGCGTCCAGCGGCTCCCCGCGGGATGTTGGCGGCTCTAGTGCGCCCAATCCGCTCGATCTCTGCAGGGCTGCCAGTCGGTAACTCAAACGCACGCTTTGCCGTCTATCAAGCGTCGGCTCAGGCGGTCACTGGGTGCGTGGCTCTCGTCCTCATCAAATTGGCCCTGCTGCGAGCCTCCACTGGGTGGGTGAATATCCCGTTCGATCAAATACGCGTAAAGACTGTTAATTGACGTTGCGCTTCCGACGACCAGGTTAAGATCCCAAGCGACGGGCTCCGCCATGTCCATCTGTTCCCATGCGACCCCAATGTGCGTTTCAATGTGGTGCCTCTTCTAGACTCGCCGGAGTCATTGATGTGAAGGTGTATGTAAGATGGTTCCTTGCGCACGACGTAACGTCAGGCATGGCGCAGACGGCATTCCGCCCCCGCGCCTTGGCTGCGTACCCCAGCCATCCGCTATCAACTCAGGAACCCTCCTGCCATCTGCGTCACATCGTCAACCGGAAGCGATGGTATCCAGTATGCGCGTTGCGTCGAGTGCGCATAATGTACTGGCACTGCTATGGACAGCACTCCTTTGCGATCCATGCTGATTGAATATCTCCGCAGCTTCCGCCGAGGCCCTTCCAGGTCTATGTTCACTGTCCCAGCCTTTGCACAGTGTCGTTGCGTTCCCTCTTGTGCCGGCTGCCGAACGTGCGTCGACCCTGCGTGTTTTTCGTCATCAGTCTAAGTTCCAAAAGATCCGTCACTCGTCACCTATAAGATCACACGCTGACCGTGGATCTGGCTCTGGGAGATCTCCGACGCTCATTTCGTCCGTGATCTCCCAAGCTTTGAGGCTGTACTGTACGTACGAGCTCGCGAGCTTTTCCGAAGTTCCTGAATAAGCTGTCCGACATACTCGTTCGGGCTGGTCGTCGTGGGTATGTTTGTTCACACTCTCCCTGCGCGGCCTGTTACGGTCAGGCAGAAGGAGAACTCTATTACGCCTGCATCGACGCTGACTGGATGCTAGCTGCCAAGGCCTTAGATGAGCACTACACGGGTACCCAAAGCTCATAGCTTCTCGGGGTCCTTCGATCAATGGAGACTTCCCAGCCCATGTGAGTAGCGAGCATCTCTGCAGAAGTGCCCTCCCTGGACGCTCACACACTTGCGCCCGCTTACCTGACAGACCTTGACATTGACTCGCTTGGATTGCCGTACCTCGGAACCTCCTGGTCTGCAATTTCCCGTGCGCCCTCCGAGCTTATTGTTGCGTGCAACTCCTCCCGCCCGCTGCGCCCTCCGAGGCGCGGTAGCCGACCCTTCTGCGAACTCGGGATCTGAAACGCCAGTGGGCGATCTCGTGCCGAGAAATGCTCCCCCCAGCTGGTCACCCGCAATTTTCCCCGTCGCTTCGAAGTCCCACCGCGCCGCGGCCCTCTGCGCAACTTTATCCTGCCCCATATTCCAACGGGATTTTTTGTAGGGGTCCGGGACGTCACCCTGGAGCACCGCCTGGGGTACGGCGCACTTAAAAACGGGCAGATCCCGACCGTACAATGTCGCATTCGTGAATCCCAAACCCCCCGCACTCCACCCATTCACTCCCTTTCACCGAGCGTAACATGACCGTCATGGCTACCCGCCGTCGCTCGACAAGAATTTACTTTCCCGACCTAATCTCCCGCTGCCCTTTCCCTCTACGCTATAACCCATACTGCGAGCGAGCATCGGCAGAGTCAAAGACCTGGCTCATGTCTGGGTGCAAGCTCAGCAAGAAGAAGCGCGCCGCGTTCCACGGACTCAAGGGCGGCCTGCTCACCGCGATGTGCTACCCGCTCGCAGACTACGAGCAGTTCCGCGTCTGCTGCGACTGGATCAACTACCTCTTCCACCTCGACAACATCTGCGACGAGATGGACGACCGCACGACCGTCAGCACCGCCAGCGAGATCATCGGCGCGCTGCGCGATCCGCACGGCTTCCGGCCCTCGTCCGCAGTAGGAAGGCTCACGCAGAGGTGAGTAACCTCGTGTGCTGGTCCCCATTGAGTCACGACGCTGACCTCCGGGGCGTGTCCCACGCAGCTTCTGGCGTCGGCTATCCTCGAGAGCGTCCGCCGGTGCCCAGAGGAGGTTCATCGAGGCCTTCGAGCTCTTCTTCCACGCGGTTGCGCAGCAGGCGCGGGACCGCGAGACGGGAAATATTCCCGACCTCGAGTCCTACATCGCCATGCGGCGCGACACCAGTGGGTGCAAGCCGTGTTGGGCCCTAATTGAGTACGCCAACGACGTAAGCCTGTTCCATTCATACTCTGTCAGCGGTATATTTAGCTGATGGGCCTCGCCAGCTGGACTTGCCCGACTGGGTCATGCAGCACCCGTGCGTGCGCGGCCTGGAAGAAGCTGCGAACGATCTGGTAACGGTACGTTTATCTGCACTGGCCCCGGAACGTGTGCTCATCGAACTTCGCGCATACCCATTAGTGGTCGAACGTACGTCTTCTCCGCCGTTCGCCGAGCTTCCTACGGGCACTGATTCTAGGCCTTCCGCTTTAGGACATCTTCTCCTACAACGTGGAACAAGCAAACGGTACGGAGCTCGCGTCTTCCCCATCATTTCCTCGGTGCGTGTGCTCATGCGCGTGCCACGCGTCTGCCCCAGGCGATACGCACAACATGATCGTGGTCGTGCAGACCCAGGAGAAGCTCGACCTGCAGGCTGCCGTGGACTACGTGGGAGAGCTCTGCGTCGGATGCATCGACCGCTTCCTGGCGCTCCGGGACGCCCTCCCGTCGTGGGGCCCTGACATCGACGAGCAGCTGCGAGTGTACGTCGACGGCCTCGGCGACTGGATGATCGGGAACCTCGTCTGGTCGTTCGAGACCGAGCGATACTTCGGCCGCGCGGGCCCCAAAGTGCGCTCAGAGCTCTCTGTCGCTCTGCTCCCGCGTCGCAAGTAGGTGTCCGTTCGCGATGGTGGCGGAGTCGTCACCACGCGAACTTCATTGTGAGTCTCGGTTAGTTCTCGGCCTGGGGAGCCGTCTTGACGGCGTGAGAGACGTCTGACTGATGATGCCCCTTCCGCCAGATCTCGCCTAGGGGAAGGCTATCGGTGCCTTTGCGCTCCCCTTGGCATATCTTTCGCGATTCGCTCCTCTTGTCTTTGTAATGGGACCGTCGGCGCGCGGCAACTTGCGGAGAATCCACGACCACGGACCTTCTTGTACAGTCGTTTGTGCTCAAGACCTTCTTGCTTTCGCATACGCTCTTCCGTTAAACCTTGGCGTACCCCCAGCTACCAGCCATCCACGCTCCCTTGCGTTCGTTCCGTTATTCTCGTGATCCCTACGTTATTTCCTACGCCGTACGGCCATCGTCCAGAACCCTAGACTAATTGTCCCGATGTTCCCCCATGCGGGCCATTCCGAGACTACCCTACTTTTTTTTTTTCATCGCGGCCGCCGCCTCTTTATAGACTAGTACGCCTGCCACCCCTTCTCCTGGTACTGCTCCCACCGCTTTCCGCCTAGCTACTGCAACCCTCACTCTTTCTCTTTCTGCTTTTCCCCGGTGTCCCCCCGATGTAGCATTTACGTAGCGAGTACCCACCGTTCTACCGTATATCTCCAGACCTGCAAAATTGAAACAGCCTTCTGCTAGTCCTGCATCCCAAGCGTACCCTCTCGCTCCTCAACGTCCGCTCCGCCGGGGCACTATCCTCACGACACCCGTACACCGGTCGGGCGGCGGCCGATCCATGTTCCACGCGATCGCGGGCGGCTGCGATTTTTGCCCAGTAAATGCCTTCAAAGTAGAAACATGTACGACGTGCGCAAAAACAACTGTAAGAAGAAGACCAAGGTGCTACGAGGGTTCGAACCTGGGTTTCGGGAAAGTCGGTCTCAAAATCCCGAGTGATAACCACTACACTATAGCACCAGTACCACCGCCTGCTCGGCAACCCAACCCATCATTAACTCGTACGGTAGTGCTGTAGTCAGTGTAGTTATACTGTACTGTACGGACCATGCGGCGCCATCCTGGCATCCAGCGATGCACCCAACAAGTACTGTCACCAGCCCGACTCTCGCCGCACACTTCTCACAAAAAAAGGGGAAAAGAGAAATGCAAGTCAAGCAGAAAGACAGCAGTTTGTCCGTCTCTCGATGAGAAAGAGATTTCCAAAAGGAAGAACGGCCGAGCTATACCATAGCAACTCCTGCTTTCGATCCAGGGACTTCAGGGTTATGAGCCCTGCACGCTTCCACTGCGTCAAGTTGCTGTGCTGACTGTGCGCGTCACAGCCTGAATAGAGTCAGAGAGTGGACTGCCAGTCGCTCCCATCGTTCGAACCGCAGCCTCGACGCGGCTGACATCCACCCACTCCGGATCCGCTCGATGAGAGCAACCATAGGACGCAGTGGGCCGCAATACGAGCATCGAGAGGCTGCTGTCTGCTTGTCTGGAAGGCTCGCACCCAGTCAGCACGGTGCGGCGGACGATAGCTCTCTGGTATGACCTGATAGTACTATCAGACATACGCTGATGCTGGAAAACTGCTGACGCGCCCTTTCGCGCCCCTGGTGTATACGTACAGGACAGGAGCAACAACAAGGGACGAGGCCGACACAGGGCTTTCCATGTCGTGAACGGCCCTGTGCCCGGCCGCAGAATCCGAAGCGTGCATAGCTCAGAGTTAACGTTGAGGTGAGCAACGGAGCAAGGATACCTGGACCGGGACTGTGGCAGACGACCGCCGAGTCCGACCCTGTCCCTGCATCCTGTGCAGCGAAGTCGTTCCGGAGGATACAACTTTTCCCGACGTCCCAGTCTGTACGCAGAGACGAGGCGATGTATAGGAATCTGTGCGTATGACATTCGATCCACAGTGCATGTAATCCGAGTCGCGCCTTTCGCGAGAGACTAATGTGCACTTCCAGCTGTTCAATCCCTGCGGTAACTATCCTTGTAATCCGAGTTCTGAGTCTCGTTCATCAGCTTCGTACCGATGTCCACTCAACGCCACCACGCACCTTCGTGTAGATCCCGCCGCGGTCGTTCAACCGCCTCGGCGCAGCGGGCTCCCCGACGTGCCCGTTCGAGTTCTGGTTCGCCTCGCGCGGGTCGCCCTAGCGCACGCACATCACCGTGAGTCGTGACGTCCAAGCAGGGAGAATGAACGCAAGTACACTCACATGAAGGGCGGTCATAACCGTCGCGACGGCGTTCCTCACAGGGTGACTCTCCTCGCCACGCCTTTGCGCGTGGTTGTCCTTCCCCCGGGGATCGTCCGCGCCCTCGCTCTTGACCGGGGCTACCATCGTGCTGTCCCTCACTCCACCTCCATCTCCGCTGCTCTCACTGCCGCTCTTCCCATCCTCACCGTTCTTCCCACTGCGGTTAGTGCTCTCCCCGCCGCGCTCGTTCGCGCCCGCACTCTCCAGCCCCCTCCGGCTCCCGTCGCGCGAGCCGACGCCGACCATGCCGCTCGACGCCGCGCCCCCGCCGGCGCCGTCCCCGCCGACGGGCCGCGCGTGCGCGTACTGCGCGCCCGCGGGCTCCTGCGCGCTCGACCCGCGCGGGCGCAGGTTCGTGCCCGTCCCGCCCGGCGAGCTCACGCGCTCGTTGAACTCGGGGGTTTGTTGCGCGTGGCGGAATTGCCCTGCTCCGCAGGGAGTGAGGTTTAATATTAGGGGAGCAGATGGGAGAGGAAGGGGTGCGGACGTACAGGTGGGCATCTCGGCGGCGTCGGGCGAGGTGTGCCGCCTGTCCTGCGTGCTGAACTGCAGGCGCCAGAAGCCGTAGAAGCCCAGCGCGACCGCGGCCATGCCGAAGACCATAGTCTGCATGGGGGATGTCACGTCAGCCCGACCAGAAGATGAACCCTGCAGTGAACGGCGACGGACCCTGGGATTCCCGCCGCGGCCCACCGTGTGCATAGGGGCGTTCGGCCTGCCCGAGGCTCCTTTGGCGGCGTGATCGTAGTGCGCACTCATCGTTGCTGTCTACTGAGTGCTGATACAACAAAGTAGTGAAGCTGTATGGTTGGGATGCAGGTAGGCGCGGGACGAGCGGAAAGTGGGGAGTCTAACATCGCTTCAGCGGCTTTTCGAAGTATATGAGGCTGGCAGCGCGGCGGGAGGCCTCGATCGTCTGTGAAGCGTTCGCGGTGGTTGGTTTGTGGGAGGATGCATTCGGAAGGCGGCTTGCCATACCGGGCGGTGGGTGCAGGACGAGCGTGTCACTGCCGCCACAATGCCTCAGTGGGCTCGGCGGTCTGACGTCATTGGCGGTCTCTGCTCAGCTGGAGGCCCGAAGGATTCACTGCAGGTACTCCGGGTGTTCTGAATTGTAGGTTTCGTCCTGAAAACACGACGACGGTGGCGAGTAAAGGAGAAAAGGCATTATATGTTGCTAGTAAATCCAGCACAGGATCCGAGAAGTGTCCGCTAGGCGTATCGTACAGGTTACATGAGTGATGGTACATTGGTTTCGGCCACCATCCGTCTAGTTCTTGTCCGAACCATGCCGCTGGCGATCGTACTCGGGTCCTTCGCGGCGCTGTATCGCATGCATAAAAGTCAGTATGGACGTACTACGATATACGAGTTCAATCACACGCACCTTCGACGCGATCTCCGAGCCAGGCTCCTTCTCCCTCTGCGGCACGGGCTCGCTCTTCGGGCTCTGGTGTTCGTCTGTCGCCTTGCCCTACATTCCATTCGATCAATCTCCCGCCAGCCGACACGCAAAGCAGGGAGGGTGCTCACCTGTGTCGCAGTGAGGTACGACGCGGCAGGGCCCTGGCTGCCGCTCTGGTCGTCGTTGCTCCGCGTGGGCACGCTCTCGGGCTTGGTCGGGATCTCCGTCTTGCTCGAGCGCTGCGCGAGGTGCTTGTCCGGGTTCGACGCGGGCAGCTGCTCCTGGCCGAGCCGGTACTCCCCTATCCACGCGTTTCCCAATCATCAGCGAACACGCTCACCGGGATCAGAGAAAGCGGGAAGGGACGTACATGTGGGCAGCGCCCCGGGGTTAGGAGTGCTCTCTTTCTTCGCTTGGTACGATTTCTGCGCGTACCAGAAGAGACCGAGGCCCACGGTGACTGCGGCTACACCCCCAACGAGGAGCTGGATCGCGGATGTTGTGAGGATGGGTTGGGCGGATGGACCGAGTGTACAGGGGCCACACGAGACGTACCCTGTTGTTGCTCCGCACGGCTTGCTGCACACCCTTCTGAGCGTCGGACATCTTGTTTGGGATACTTTTCGTAGTGTGTCAGAGATGAGACTAGTAGTTGTGTAGGTAGAGATCGTGGTCGAGTCGTGGACAAATGCGAGTGAGGATGAGAATGCGAGCGATGACGCTGCGGTGGTCATATATGGGACCGCGCTGCCGGGTCTCCGGGGCGCGTATGCGTCGATGATGCGAGATGGGGCAGAGGGAGGGGAGGAGTGCCGAGCGCACGCAATCGACGTCATACCTACTCCGATGAGGTAGTCCCTCCCGACGCGGTGGAGAGGCGCGCGTCGCGTGCACGTGATCGTGTCGCGACGCGTTCGCACCACTATCGGTTTGGCTGGAGGAATGAGTCCGTCCTGTGTATGACGCCGGCGATAAGTCTGTAGCGCCGACGAGCGGCAGTGCCCCATACCGATCGTCAGTGAGAGTGAGCCGTTCAACGGGTTACTGAGTTTGCAGTGTCGCTTAGACATAGTAGGGTACGCGCTATAGGACGGATACAGTGAGTAAGGTCAGGATATCCTCCATCACGCGTTGGGCGTGGACCTCGCTGGAAAGGGCAGATTTACCCTCCAATCGCCACCCAGGGACTCTCGGACATGCCAAGAGCGCAATCCTGTATTACCCCAGCGTATACCAGGCTGCATCCTGAACATACATGTCGAGTGGTAGACGCGGCCGTGACGCTGCATCTGTCCCAGGGCAGACTGTGCATTCCAAAACCAAAGGAACGTAGACATCAATAACGGCACGTGCGAGAGATTTTTTGGCGGGGCGCACGGTTATGCAAACTGCCATGAAGACCCTCTACCTGTCGGTATCGGGGATATACAGCTCGTGTACATCGATGCATCTGGTGTTACATAAGTCCATGAAACAGTGCTTACGGGACAGCAGAACAAGAGTATGTGGCACAGAGATAGGGCAGTAGTAGTACAGAGTCCGCACAAGGGGGAGGATGAACGTGAGCAATCAAGCCACAACAGCGCCGTCCTGCATGAAGGTGAGTATTCCATATGTGCAGACCAGACGACTCTAGACGGAGCCTACACAACAAGGTATATCGCGTGTATGGCTCACCAGCGCCACGAGGGACGAGGCGGCGGCTCCTTCTTCTCGAAGATGAACCACTGCGGCGCCGGTGCCAGCGTATCGGGCGCACCTCCCGGTTCGCTCGCCGTCGCCGCGACAGCAACGTGGCCCGCGACCATCATGCAGTCGTAGACTATGCCGTTGTCGTCGACGATGACGTCTACCTCGCAGTACCCGGCGGGGACCTCGCGCATATCGATGGTTGGGTAACGGATGCCGTCCAGCGTGTACGCCGCTGTTCCTATGGTTATGGCAAAGAACGACTGCGTGTGAGCTTGGTAGCCTCAGAGAGGGCAGGAAGAGGGAGCCGGGTGCGTACTGCGGTCAATCTCGAGCACGCTGCCAGGAGCCTCAGAGCCTTCGGCGACGCTTGCACCCTCTTCGTTCTACACATTCCAACGTCAGCTCGTCGATGATCACCAGCTCGGCTCACCCTACTATATACACACCTCAGCAGCCCCATTCAGCGGCTCGAAACTCCTCCCAGCTAGCCCATCAACGGGCAAACTCGGACGGGCGACGCCGTAGCCCCGGATCCGGCCCTGCCACTTCCCCGTGGGCGACCACACGCAGAACGCCGCGAGCCACCCGCTGACCTCGTCCCGCCC